GGAACGCCCAGGCGACGAGATCAAATAGTTGTATGCAAAAGAAAAGCCATTGGGAATGCGCGGTTGTACTTCGAATGGATGGAAAATTGTTGTGTTGACCCCTAACACTAATCCCATGGTTTACCCCCTAATCATAAGCCCTAAGCTCCAACGCTAACCCCAACAGTATTGTGCCCATCAGGTGGGGCTGCATAACCACACCCTACCGAAAATACTCCGACTCACATGACTATGACACCTAAATGTCTCTGCGGCACGACGGGATACAAGCATTTAGGCAAAAGAAACATGCATTTCTTCCTATAAACACGAAATTTTGGTGGAAGCCACATTCAGCAACGACGCAATATGCAACCCCACCCAGAATGCGGAGGATAGGTCATCGTGTTTCACAGGATCGGTGGAAGTAGGTGATATATGGCTGGGGTTAATGAATGGAAAAAAGGGCGACGAAGAAGAATGAAGTTTCGGAAAAATGTTCAAATTCCGTCAATAGGTTCAAATACACCCGTGCGCAACCTTAAAAACAGCCCCGAAAATTGAATACTAACAATCTTTAATGTCAACAATCCAAATACTCACCCCATAACTTTCTTAAAACCGTAGGTACTGTCTTATTTTTGTCCCATAGTTGCATTTTTACTGACACTAATGGGTTTTATTTCAAAAACAAAAACTCAATACATAATCACTTTGCGACTGCTTTCGTCATTCTTGTTTTATTCTGGCTTATAGTTGAAAAGTGTATTATAAAGTGTTGCATTGCATGGAAAATTATTAAGGGACAACTGAAGTAGACTGAGCTCCGTACATAACTTGCACATTATCGGAAAATAAATCAGATAAGAATCATAAGGGTTAATAAATTGCGATAAAACGCGCAGGAACGCAATAAAACGTTTCAAGATTGCTTTAAAACATCTGTTTATATATAGAACTAGCCAATTCTGCAAAATAAACGGGTTTCTTCCGTCTTCATTAAGATTTCCTCTAATATAATATTGCAAAGTATTACAACTCATAATTTTTGTATTCGAAAATACTCCTATCTCTCTGCCTCTCTATTAAGGACGCGATTATTTGGATATAAAATCAGCTAGTTCATGAGGACCGAAAAATTGATTTCCTTGTCCGAGACAGCTGATTTTACGAACATGCCTCCAAATATATGGCAGAAGAACTTGATTATCGTCTTTGACGTATATTTTTGCCGACATACGCCTTAAACCATTATGTTTTCTTTAACAGGACATCACATAAGCATGCACGTTTGCGCGTTTCGTTAACGTACTACGTCTGGGGTACCTCCACCGACCAACTGTACGTCGGTGGCCATATGTCGCCAGTTTAGCCACAGATTATTCAGGTACATTGTTTATGCTGGGGACGTCTGGTTTCATGTAATGCATGCCTCCTACAGGGAACAGGTCAACGTATCAAGAATGGACCAGATATGGCTTGTGAGACTTTTTATTTTGTTTATTTATCTACGGATGCATGTAAGTCTTGCATACAGTAACAGGTATTGCAAAAAACAAGCATTCCACAAAGATCTGTTTTATGGCCAAGTCAGGTAATGTTGGTATAAAAGGAGCGGGCTACTAAATGCGTCATCACAAGTTCAATATCGTAAGCAAGACCCTCGGGACATATTTATAAATTATAATAAGTTCTTGTGTTACAAAGTTTGCTTGAAATTAATGGGAGTTGGCAGGCTGATAAAAAATAAACATGCGCAAATTTCAGCTTCAGTAGATGTGCTAACCCATGAAATGCAACCGAAATTCTGAAATGCGTTTTGGACTTGAGAAGATTACTTTAAGTAGGATTGTGATATTTATCCCAAGATACTTCAGGTACTTCAGGATTTCAGCTTTTGAACGGACGTCTTTTTGTCCGCCTGTAAATACTACACTCTGTAAAAGTGATTACCTGAAGAGTATGAATTTATCCTTTTACTCATTCGATAGAAACTATTAATTTATAAATTTTATTTTTAGAGAAGGAGTAAAATTTGGTTTCTAAGAGACTTTTTCGATTCCCGAATAATTCCGAACCCGGCCTACCGTTAAACGTGCATTCAGTTTTTCCAAACTACAAGCTGAATGTTTTCCACGTACGGAAAATCGCTCGTTTCTTTATGCTACTAAGAGGAGACCATACAAGGATCACAAAAGTTAGCAGCGGATATGAGCCATATTCTTAACTTTACAAGCAAGCATAGTGAATCTAGATGCGCTATATTTAATAAACGGGCATTTAGCGATCTTAAAAATCCCATAATTAGAACTTTGTAAAACCGATCTCTACCCTTCTTCCGCATATGAAGTAAGAAGACTTTTTTACTTAATAAATAAACGGGAACATTTTTTCAAGTACTTTTCCATAAAAATATATTTAAGTTTATGAGGGTGTCCAAGTCAATGAAAAAAATATTCCTACTCTTCAAGTAGTCATTTTTGTGGACATTTTTGCAGGCAGCCGGAAAGACGTTCATTCAAGATCTGGTATTCTAAAGTACCCGAAATGGGATTATTCTGAACGGTGATAAATATCCAACCCTTCCTTAGTAATCCTTTCTGGTCGGAAACGCATTACAGGATTCCGGATAACATTTCATGAAGTAGCACATCTAGTGTATGTTTATCAGCCTGTCCGGTCTGCGTTAAACCATCTGCCCCCCAAATTTATCTAACAAAGTGTAAATGCACGCTAGTTTTTGTCTCCTGTGACATGAGGCCTTAACGCATTACGCACTTTTGTTCAAGTCCAAATCTGCATAAAAGCGCAAAATTTGGAGTCGTGATGTTATTTCGTCAAACGATGATGATGGTCTTGAGGAATCTGAAAATCCGTTAGGTGTTTGGTCATGCATTGAGAGTTAACGGGCTTAAGATAAGCCCAGTCAGTCCTCGCATGTTTAGGCTAGCCTTGTTTGAGAGTGTGACGCTATGGTCACGTCCAAACATGCAAGATTCTAAAGAGCTTCAGTTAATTCATATCCAGTGCATGGAACAGTCGAAAAGAAACCTGGGGCTTGAAGAACTGGATGCCTGTACTCGGACACTCCGATTATGCAGCACTAAGTAGAATGCCTAAGCACAAATTTGCGAGTTCCCCGTCCGATTGGTTTTTAGTGCGAACTGATAGACCAATGCAAAACCTGCCGGCCTGTGTATGTCTTGCCAGAATATTTCAGGTCCAGGCTCGGCTTCCGGGATATGGAAATCTGGTGCTAGAATGCGGCTAGCTGACAACGTCTTTCAGGTCAAAAATATTTATTCCGGTCTCTCCTATTATCATTGTTAACTTCTCTTTCCACGTAATACCCAAAACTATACAACTGCCCTCGAGTGTTCCAGCTTCGAGATCAAGGAAACATAGGGTTGAGAATTTTTCGTTCTGCGATTAATTGTACTAAACCTCTCTAGGGTCCCAAAAACGGCAAAGATAAATCTACAGGTTGAGTTAAACCAGTTATCCTTTTATAACGTTTACTTGGCTATGAATGTCAAGCAAACCTGTTTTGAGAAGCCCCTGGACGACTCATCAGATTAATTACGGTTCGGCCGTTTCTGTTCAACGCGAAGTGCAGCAATTTACTGCTACAACGGGTAAGTCTTTAGTAGATCAAGGTGTTTTGCTAGCCATCACTATAATAGACAGAAGAAAACTTGCGTAACACAAGATAGTTTAAAATTTCTTAACGTTTATACGAAAGAAGACAATACCTGCCTAAAAGTTAAAAAAATTGACAAGACAATCGTTCACCCCAAAATAAGAATGGAAAGTAATCTGAATACTTGCACAAATACCCCTATGAGCCTTGCCGTCGGGATGTCCGTAGCCATACCACGGTTTTCTCGCGGATGCGATGTGTCGCGGCGTTTTACTTAAACCCTTAAAATGCCCTGAAGGGAGGTCCGGTAAAAAAGCAGGACAGTGGGATAACCATTTCTCGCTCATTCACCGTCATCAGCCAGTCCTTATTTAACCCAGGTTTTGTCGCACCTCGGCCCTAAACCCGTGTTCTTTTGGCGTCGATCCTCATAAAACCCTACATGCTGGTGGCTATGGGACAGCCTACGAGGGCTCCAAATTCAGCTTCAAGGCACAATGTGACGAGCAAGCTCCGTAGCCGGATGGGTGAATGCGCTTTCAACATAAATTAATATGAAAAAGAGAAGGCTGTTCGGAAAATGGAGTTGTACTTTAAATTTTCAAGTCGGTGACACTGTGGTGAGGTACCTGACTAATTTACCTTTGAAAATTTATGCCAATATTCTTTGACCGCATCACTTGTTTGAATGTGACGAAAAACGACACTCCTGTACAACTCGCCTAGCTAGCGTGCTCCTCTGTCGTGGTCTGTTGTCAGTTTTCTTAACGTTCAAAATCTCTATATTATTCACTGCCCAGATTTACTTGCTGCCTTTAAGGCTAGGGGCTCGTGAGATATAACTCGTTATTTCGTGAGAACATTACATATTTATGACATTGGTGACTCCCGATGTTAACGCAGACTTTGTAGCTTTCTGTCATACTGGATAGCATTTAACGTACTTTTTGCTTGTGAATATCTATCCCATTTACATTTACTTTCTTCACGAATTCTGATATTTTGCCATCTCTGTCTTATTATGTCTCACTCCAATCAACAACTTGACGCCCCCGCCCAGTCTCTTCATGCAATCAATTTTACCTTGCCTGAATTCTGGCAACACGCTCCAGAACTTTACTTCATCCGCATATAATCAGCCTTTTATTCTGCCAACGTTAACAAGGAGCTAGCAAAATACCACAAACTTGTGGAGGTCCTCCGCGCTAGTGTCATCTCTCAAGTTCACTCCTTGCTGGCTAATCCTCCTGCAGATGCTCCCTAGTCCGCGTTAAAGGCAGAAATCCTCCGACTTAATTCTGTGTCTGACCGACAGAGGTATCACCAGTTAATTAAGGAGGAGTCACTGGGTGACCGGAAGCCCTCAGAGCTTCTACGTCGGATGCGTTCTCGCCTTGGAGACATGCAAGTTGATGATAAATTTGTCAAGGAGATGTTCCTAGAGCGTCTGCCCACAGATGTTCAAACGATCCTGGCGTCCGGCTCTCAGGCTCTCACAGTGTCACAGCTGGCTGAGATGGCGGATCGAATGATAGAGGTGCAACGGTTCCAGTCACCTTCCGTTGCCCAGATCTCATCCTCATCGCCAGTGAATGAGAATTTGCTAAAACAGGTGTCGGCCATGGCGGATGAGATGGTCTCCCTTAAAATACAGCTCGCCCGCCTAACTTCCAGTCGCCCACGTAGTCGTCGTCGTTCTCGTTCGCGACCTTAGACTGCTGATACTTGCTGGTACCACGGTAATTTCGGCGTAAGGGCCCGCCGCTGTTCCTCACCTCGCTCTTTTAAGCTGAAACAGGGAAACCAGTCAGCCAGAGAATAGATGCGACCGTCTTCTCTGGCTCTTCCGGCTCTGGTCGCACATTCTATGTTTGCGACACTGCGACTCGCAGACGTTTTCTGGTGGACACTGGAGCCCAAATCAGTGTTGTTCCCCCAACTGCAGCTGATCGTCGTTTCCCTAGCCCTGGTCTTCACCTCCAAGCTGCCAACTGTTCTCCCATTCCCACTTTTGGTAGTCTGTCCCTCACCCTGAACACTGGCCTTCGTCGGTCATTCACTTGGATCTTTGTGATTGCTGACGTTCCTCATGCAATCCTCGGCTCGGACTTTCTTGCCGAGTTTGATCTCCTTGTTGACTGCCGACGTGCCCGTCTCCTCGACCGCACAACCGGTCTGTCTGTCCGTGGACTAACTCCCTTTTCTGCTCCCACCAGCTTATCTGTCTTGGGTACGGGTGTTGCTAGTCCTTTTCGGCAACTGCTGCTTAGTCACCCCAACATAATTAACCCCCAGTTTCGCAGTGATGAGGTTCAAAATTATGTTGTGCACCATATCCGCACCTCAGGTCCTCCCGTGTTTGCTCGACCAAGACGATTAGCACCGTCGCCAGACGAAATGAACAGAGGGAAAAGTGTTCTCGGCAGAATAAGTTGCTGGCGCGACGGGACAGACAACGAAAAACAGACAGCTGATGCTGAGAGGGGTGGGCACCTAATTATGGTAGGCTGTGGGACAGGGGGAGGGGAGGAAGAACTGTTAGGGCTCCCTGTATTGGAGGTGGAGAAAGAGCAGGGGAATTGCGGATCAGTGGGAATGAGAGTGGCTGGTCACTGATGCGGGGTGAGGTCAGGGTGCAATGCGCCGGCGTTGGAGGTGCTAGGGTTTTCGGTTGTTGTTCATCGCGTCGCAAGGGGGAGGGGGGCGGAATGGCGAAACAGCATACGTCTATGTGGCCGACTGGGGGTTGGCAGTTGGTAGGGTGCGGGAAGGAGACAGTGAGCGTTTACGTAAGCCCTCGTAGGGAGCGTCTAGATTGACGTGGCAGTCGATGCTGGTGGTGCCAGAATGCCAGGCTTCGAGGAATTCTCGCGCCTGCCTGGTGTTAGCCCTTGCGATCACTTCAGTACCGGCCCAATTGAAGCGGTGGCCATATTCAAGGGCGGGCGAAAACAAGAGACAGTAGGTCACCTCGGCAGAGGGCTAACTTCTGCTCGTTAATGCGAGTCCCAAGACATCGGCCTGTATGACCAATATAAACACGAGGGCAGTTGGCGTACGGGATGCAGTAAATGAAGTTAGTTAGTTGTTCTTTGGGCACCGGGGCCTTTACTCAGCATAATACCTCACGTAAGGAAGATGCGGGCTTGTGGGGAATGGAAATGCCCAAGCGTTTTAATTGCCGGGAGAGTGTTTCAGAAATTCCCTAAATGTTCGGCAGTGAATAGAATTTCCCCGAGACTTCATCTCCATTAGACTCGGGGCTTTGCGGTTGTGTCTGGCATCTGAGCCATTTTGTTACAAAACTGGCAGGATATCCGTTGAGCCGGAATAACCGATGTAGGTAGGTAAATTCTTTCTGAAGTAAGTCATCACTGTTGTAGGTGCGATAGGCCCGATGGAAAAGAGTGCGGACACAGCTTCGTTTATGGGCCGCAGGATTATTACTCCATAGTTAAGTATGATTTCGGCACTAGAGTCTTTTCGGTGGACGCTTACTGCTAGTTTGCCATCACTCAGTCTTTGTATACCAACATCTAAGAACGAGAGGGTAACTCTTGTTGCTTCAACGCGAGTACACTGCATAGCCGGGAAGACGCTATTTACAGTAGATGTGCTAACTCATGAAATGTCAACCAAAATTTCGAAATACGTTCTCGTTTCGAAAAGATACATTAAATAATGTTGTAAAACTAATCATGATGCAGCATAAATCTATAATGATCCAGTTACCTTAGGGTGTTGGCTTTCGAAAGAAGTTATTTTCAGCTGCATGCAAGATCTACACTCTGCAAAAAATGACTACTTAAGTAGCGTGCAAATTTCTCATTGATTTTCGATGCCCTTGAAAATTCAATTATATTTCATGGAAAACATGCATTAAAATATTCATTCTTTTACTTATTCGGTAGAAAATCACGTCTGTTTCCAATTTTATACTCAAAAGAAGAGTATAGTTCGGTTTTAGAAAACTTTTCTAATTCCAGAATAATTTTTAACCCGACCTACTTTTACACTTGCATTCAGGGTTTCAAAACTACGAGCTGTATATTTTCCGTGTACGGAAAACCATGCATTTCTCTACGGTGTTAAGAGGAAACCATTTGAGGTTTATAAAATTAAGCAGTGGATTTGAGCAATATTGTTACCTTTACAAGCCGCATTCGTAAATGTAGATACATGACGTTTCATGAGCGGCCATTTAACGGTATAAAAAAATCTCACAAGTAGAAACTTTTTTAAAACCGAATTATACTCTTCTTTTGAGTATGGAATTAAAAGAAGACGTGATTTTCTACCGAATATGTAAAAGAAGGAATATTTTAATGCATGTTTTCCATGAAATATAATTAAATTTTCAAGGGCTTCGAAAATCAATGAGAAATTTGCACGCTACTTAAGTAGTCATTTTTTGCAGAGTGTAGATCGTGCATGCAGCTGAAAATAACTTCTTTCGAAAGCCGACACCCTAAGGTAACTGGATCATTATAGACTTATGCTGCATCATGATTAGTTTTACAACATTATTTAATGTACCTTTTCGAAACGAGAACGTATTTCGAAATTTTGGTTGACATTTGATGAGTTTGCACATCTACTGTAAGTTCCGGTGCAATCGCTCAACTTCGCTGGTCTTTATGGTGACAAATATGTCGTCCACGTAGTAGAACCCAATTTTTGGTTCGAAAGTTTGTACAAAATCCTGTTCTGGTCGCTGTTAGGCTAGTTCTGCAAGCAGTTCCGATATTGGTGAGCCCATCGGAACTGACAATAATTTTTGAGGCAAAGCTTAAGCATGTCTATAATATGCTGTGCTGGTATGACAATGGGAGTTTGCTCTAGACATCGGGCTATGCTCTCAATTGCTACGTCATGCGGTATTGAAGAAAACAGGACAACAACGCCGAACGACAGGATGCCTTCGTCAGGACTTACTTCAAGGCCATGGATCTTTTGTAGGAAAGCCTGGAAATTTTTGATGCTCTATTGCGATCCATTTGCGAGATGCTTAGAGGATCTGTATAACTACTTGGTAAGGTTGTAATTAGGGGATCCAATAAGTGGCACTATGATCCTCAGCGGCGCATCTGTCTTGTGCACCTTCGGAAGACCGTACGCACGTGCAATACGGGGGACATTGAGGCCGTATATCTGCTCTCATCGGGACTAATGAGCTTCAATCGGGCAAGCTCATTCACTTTCTTCTTGATAGCCATGGTCAATTTTTTTGTTGGGTTTACAGCGAGTGGCGCACGGGCCTCCCTGTCATCGAAAATTTGGTTTTCCTTTTTGACATAGTCAGCCTTCTCCATGATAATGGTTGTTTCTCCTTGGTCAGCAGACATAATAACTATTTTGTCATCAGTCCTCATCGATCGCGACGCCCTTCCCTCTTCGGTCGGTACGGTTTGATGGTGTTTCCTTTGTCGAAGAAGACCAGCGGCTCAACTGCAAATTTCCGCACGCATGTCATCAGGGACGTCGGAGGTCAGTAGGAGGGATTCAGGGTTGACTAGGAAGACCGTAGGTGCAGTATCGGTGTGAATGAATCTTATTCTCTTAGACAGGAGGCTTATTTCAGTGGATGTTGGATCCCTTTTTGAAAGGTTAACAACCTTCGTATACATCCGTTTCTTGCTGGCAGTGCAAAGAAGAAACTGGTTTCTTTTGCAGATAGGCCAGTTTTTTCATTCCGGCGTCATTGGTGGTGACGTCTATTTGGTGAAGTATTGCTGAAATAAGGTTATCAGGTAAGCGTGAGAAGCATCGGCTTCTAAGGTCAGAAATTGTTGCTTCGAAGCGGCAAAGACGATGGTGGACGTCGGATATAACGGCACTCAAAACACGAAATCCATATTTGCGCGTAAGTCGTCTTCTGTTCTCACTGCGTAGGGTGGTCTTGAATAATAAGTTAATATTCCCGATCGTAACCGACAGGACAACAAGCCATTGACTCAATGCTAGATCGTTCGAATTAGTGACCAATGATTGATCGATGACCAAAAAACGTGAGTTTGTGGCTTAAGAACGGAAAAACTTTGGTTCAGTAAGGCTGGATTGTGATGGCTAATCTTGCATAAATGGCCGCTTTAATCTTTCTTGTCTTTGCCTGAAATCTATTTTGCATGTTTTTCTAATTTCCATGTGAACGCTGATAGTGACTCTACATTGAAATTCGAGGCAGAACAGGACAAGCAAGTCCGGTAACCCTATTGGTGAACGCATTTTCAAAATATCAACGATTGACTGAATGCTCACAGGGGACCAATTAATCAAAACTAAAATTTAATATATTCTTCTTCAAATATGACTAAAAAATAAGGTAGTAAGCCTCATATTTACTGTCCTGCCCATACTCTGTCCTTATTATTTATTGTAATGCCCACAGCGAGCAGAAGCGATCCGATCTCTTTCACAATGAAAAATAGTGACGGATATATAATACAGGTGGCAACAATGTGAAAAGTTGGATACAACCTAGAACGCTTGAATTTAAACTGTTTCATTTTTCATAGCGCCCACTTTAAAGTGCCGAATAGAAAACTGACGAATATCAAAAGAAACATGGCCCTGTACGCCAGTCGTAAATAAGAAAAATCCACTGTTCAAGAGCATGCAGTAGAAAAACGTTGGCGTCCAGATATCTCGATAATATGCGGATCGCTTTTGGCCGAATCTGCTCCAGAGCGTCAAAATTATTGCCGTTGAAACTGT